CTTTCTTTCTTTCTTTCTTTCTTTCTTTCTTTCTTTCTTTCTTTCTTTCTTTCTTTCTTTCTTTCTTTCTTTCTTTCGTTGTCGTGGGCTTGAACTCTGGCCTGACCGCTGTCCCTGCGCTCTTCAGCTCAAGGCTAGTGCTCTACCACTTGAGCTACATCGCCACTTCCTGTACTTGATGTTTTCTTAATTCCATAGTTTCTATTGTTTGTAGAGTGCCTGTTCATTTTAGATCATCTTAATAAAATGACACACAAGGCAAAACATTTATCAGAATACAAATGTGAAAGTAGTTGTCATTTCTAAGTCTCCATTCATTAATTCCTCAAAGTTCTCACTTGTTCAAGAGCTGTCGTTTATATTACAACATTTTGAAATAGTTCAAATGGATCTGTTATATTTTTATAAGATAAAGCTATCTAAACTACATCTTTCTATTCAGGAAACAACTTAGAATGTTTGTGTTAGATTCCATAAAAACAAAGACCTTATTAAACATATTAATGTTCTGAAGAACACAGAATAATACAATTTTCAACTGGCTTCTTGGAATAATATTTATCCACATAATTTTAAAATAGTTTGGATCAAAACTTAGTGGCTATTGTTGAATTCTACTCAGTTATCTCTAACATTTTAATCTTTGCTATTGCATTCTAATGTATAGATAAGATCTTGGTGAATTTTCCTGATTGAAATTTTGTGAATGAAAGCTCATTAGTTATTGTGCTTCTATTCAGTTTGCTTTGTAGCTCAACTGAGGAGCTAATGTACTAATTCATTCAATTAGCAACTATTATTCAGGACCAACTCCATTTTTTGTTTTGGTGAACAAAAATCCTGCCATTATGCATTTTATATTCTAATATATTAGATCATTTCTCCAGCATTTTTCAGACATTTTACCAACAAAGCTTTTGGGGAAAAGAAAGGTGGTAGAATATTGTGTTTTAAAAATATATAATGAATGTTTTAAACTAAGATATAAATGAATATTGCTATGATACGGAGAGTCCATTTATATTCTGCTATTTTCTGCTATGATATTTGAGCACTGCTTCATTGAATGTTCTGTTAATGCTTTTGGGGCTTTTATATTAGTAAATATTGATTTATAGTATATTTTGATTCCAAGTGGCTTACATTGGCAGTCAGTATTAGAAGTATACCTTAGGTGTGTGTAGTTAGACTTAGGATAACTAAGTTATTTTGAGAATAACAGTTATAAAAATTTTTAAGTATATTTACTATTGTGTATAAATAACTATATTAACATTATCAAAATATTATTTAGTAAACATAAGTTTTTGAGAAGGTAGAGTTTTACTTTTAATAGACTAAAATAATTTGTAAGGAGACAATTCAAGTTGTATTATTTCATATAAAGAAATTCAAGAAAACTTATTTCTAATATAATATGTTTTTAATAAAGGAAATTTAGCTTTTATATCATGGGAGATGCTACTATACCTATTGAATAAAAGTGTACGTGGATGCTTTGCATTGTTTAATCTTCACTAGATTTTTAATGAACCTTTAGAAATAGCTTTTGTTTCTATGTAATGTTTTGGAACCTAAGAGGGATTTTTATTGCATTTTGTAGAGAAACAGTATATTAACTATCTTATTATTTTAATATCTTTGCTTCATTCACTTATTTACTGCTAGATATACGACTCTGTCATACAGAGCACCTGAAATGATTAACCTTTATGGAGGGAAACCCATCACCACCAAGGCTGATATCTGGGTAAGGCCAAGAAAAACTGATACTTGTAACCAAATTTAGAAAAACCTGAGTTAATTTGGCTATTTTACTCCTGGTTTCCGAAAGGTATTTCTATCTTTCTAAGTAAAAGAGAATGATAGTAGAGCTGTTTATTCAGGAGAAAAAAAAAACAAAAAACTAGGATTCTTTACCTTCTCAATCCTGAGATGAAAAGCTTATGTATCAAAGAAACACAGCACATCCATATAATACTGTAACTATAAGATGAGTGTTGAAATTATTTTTTTGATTGAGTAGAATCAAGGTCAATCACAGTGCAGAGAAGTTGAATGTAACTTTTTTTGTTGGTTGTGGGGCTTGAACTGTGGGCCCGGGCACCCTCAGCTCTTCAGCTCAAGGAGAGCGCTCTATCACTTGAGCCACAGCTCCACTTTCAGTTTTCTGGTGGTTTATTGGAGATAAGAGTCTCACAGGGTTTCCTGCCCAGGCTGGCTTTGAACCATGATCCTCACATCTCAGCCTCCTGAGTAGGATTACAGGCATGAGTCACTGGCACCTGGCTAAAGGTAGCTCTTAATTACAGGCAACTTTGCATGGTACTTTAGGATCTTCTAAATAGAAATTGACATGAGAAGACCTTTTTTCTAATTCTAAACATATCATTAAGTTTACTGAAGTTTTTCTTAATCATTTGGTGTATATATAACATACATATGTATGTAATATATATGCTATATATATAATCTGAATAAATTATCAATAGATCTTATTTTTTATAGTTGATTTTTATGTTATAATCTCAAAATCTCTTTAGAACTTACTCATAAACTATATTTTGGATTGTATTTAATAAAGCCAACAGGAAACTATTTCAAGTGAAATCATTTAAATAACTTTAAATTTACCATATTTACTGCTAGTGAGCAGATTATTGATATAGGAATAAAATTCATTGAGATAGTTCTAAGGCTTACAAAATCCATCAGATACACTTCGTTTTAAAAGCATAGTGTTCAGGGCTGAGGATGTAGCTCAAGGGGTGGCTTGCTGACCTAGTAAGGGCAAGGCTCTAGGTTCATCCCCAAGCATAATGATAGCTGGTAGGTTTTTCTCTCCTGGTTTCCTCCCTGTTGGAGTTAAGAGTGCCAAGTAAAATCATGAGAGACAAATACTCTTGCAAAGTAATAAAAATATTTGACATCATTTGTTTACATAACATATGCATTTTCAACAGCGTTTTTGGTAGTAAAACATGAGTAAAACAAATTCCATAAAAGTATGATTTAGTTAATTTGAAGCTACACCAGCTTGTATAATTTAATTTCCTTTACTTAGCATTAACATTCAATTCATTAGATCGAGGGTTATGTTCAATATAGACAGTAAATTGAGTTGGATCTTAATTTATGAAAGGAAAGTATTAGAAGAAACGGTGGAATTCTTTCATAGCTTAATTTTGGGATAGCTGTTCAATCCATATCTTCTGACAAAAACATAGCAACACATAAACAGATATCATAGTTCATTACAGTTGTTAAGCCATCAAGGGTTGATTTCAAAGAGTCTGTTCCTGAAGCACATAAGTATTATCCAGTATGTTAACAAAAAGGACATGCTGCTGTATTTATTTTCCGTAGGATTTAGTATACCTGCAGAAAGATAAAAACAGAAAACATTTACATTTACATACTTAAAAAGGTAGAATTTAAATTTCTCTGATGACTCATTTTTATGTTCCCTTTGTTAAATTCAGGTGGAAGAGAGAGATATTTTAGAAAGGAGTTCAGGATTCAGAAAAAGTACTTAGTTTAATTTGGTCACAAATTACAGTTTTGATTATACTTCAGATTAATACAAAATTCAGGAGATTATAGTTACATGTGAAAGTATTCATATAGCACATCATACTTTGGCAAAAAATTCCTTGAAAGTTTTCTTTATAGGTTATTTTATTCTTAGATCTAGAATGCTGATTTTTATTAAGTATTGTAAAATTCAATATGAGATCCTTAGGTTCACTCTTAATGGAAATTGAAGGTGATGATAGCCTTCAAAGTCAAATCACTTGTTCTCTCTGTTTCTTGTATAATTTTCATTGTATCAAATAGATAAAGGTGGAAATGCTTAATTGTGTGAAATAATTAGAAGACCTCATTTAAGTCATTGTATGTATAGCAGACTATTTAGATTCACTTTTTGTGTGTGTGTGAGAGGTGATGGAGATCAAACTAGGGCTTGTCAGGTTTCTAGTCAAACTACCACTGAACTGCTTCCTCAGCCCTTAGATTCATATTTTAAAAGTTGTCTGGCATTGCTGGACTTAACATGGAAACTTTTATAACATTTACTCTAATATAAAAATGAGTTATTAAAGGGTTGATTGACATTATAAAGCTAGTTGAAGTATAGATTTCATTTGCCTTTTCATATGGACATTGGAGAAAAGATAGGAGATATGTACACACACACACACACACATACATACATGCACACACACACCTTTCTTTTTCATACATATATTAGTTTGTGCTAGTTCTGGGGCTTGAACTCAGGGCCTGGTTGCTGTCTGAGATTTTTTGCTCAAGACTCTACCATTTAAGCCCAAACTCCACTTGTATCATGGACATTCCTGCCTGGGCTGCCTCAATCCTCAGCCTCCTGAGTAGTTAGGATTACAGGCATCAGCCACTTGAGCCAGGCTTGAATGATTTGATTTTAAAACATGATTTTTAATAAATTTCTAATACTACTTAATGCCCACCCTTACTTTATAGGTTATATACTAGTTATGTACTAAGACTTTTTTCTTTGTTTTAAAAATAACAATAACAAAGGAGCCAAGACTCTTAACTAGCCTGATGTTAGCGATATATAATCTAGAGCAATGTAGCCAGCTCTAGTCATAAATGTGATAGAAAAGCTCATGCTTTTAAGCTCATGCATAAAAAGTTAAATGTCTTTTGAAAAATTAGTAGATTAAGTTGTGAAGCAATAGTTATGAAAAGTTTAATCCAATATAGGAGCATTAGATTGTTTAAAAAATAACATATTTAGTTTTTGGTTTGGGGCCATTTTAATATTTTGTGGTTACTGAGCTCTAATGACCATATTTCTTTGTTTTACAGGCCTTGGGATGTTTACTGTATAAACTTTGTTTCTTCACTCTTCCTTTTGGTGAGAGTCAGGTTGCTATCTGTGATGGCAGCTTCACCATCCCAGACAATTCTCGGTATTCTCATGACATACATTGTTTGATAAGTAAGTACCTGGGGAAAGTATCTGTAAAAAAATTGCATAACAATTTACTTAGGGGCTGCTTATATTCTTTTACTTGAGTCTGGTCTATTAATTTTATGCATTATAATTTTGCAAAACTATAATAAAGAGAAGCGTTTAAAAATAGGCACATGTGATTTGTATGGGAATGAAAGCAGTCTGATTCTGATTAGTACAAGGGTATTTTTTAATTCCTAGGTAAGATTTAATAACATGCAACAGAGATTATTAAAGCAACTGGAATTATTCATTTTTTCATTTGTAAACAAATATTGAGTTGTTGCCTTTTTAGATGAAAACATTGCAAAACATGATATCATTGCAAATCACCATTAAAATACCTATAAATGTTAATATAGAAGTAAATATGAAGGAGCTAAGACATAGCAATCTCTTTGGCAAGGCCCTTTAAGTTTGTTTTATTTTTGGTCGGTCGTGGGGCTTGAACTCTGGGCTTGGATGCTGTCCCTGCACTCTTCAGCTCAAGGTTAGCACTCTACCACTTGAGCCGCAGCGCCACTTCCGGTTTTCTAGTGATTTATTGGAGATAAGAGTCTCACAGACTCTCCTGTCCGGGCTGGCTTTGAACCATGATCAGGCAAGGCCCTTTATTCCAAAAGAATACTTAAGTGCCTTCCATCCTCCTGTAAGATTTTCATATATGCTGTAATTTAACATTTCATATATGTACAGTTAAAATATTGGAAAAAGATGTTTTGAAGAGAGAGAACTACGTTAAGCAAGTGTTCTACCACTGAGCACTTGTCTTCTGCTTGGTGTTATTTTTTTGAGACAATCTTGCTATGCAGCTCAAGTGCCTTGTATAGGCAGAATCTTAGAGATTCAGAATGGCCCACCACGGCTCTACTTTTCTCATGGGCCCTGCCGCATTTGGTGTGCCACATTGCAAGATGTGAATTTTTGAAGAGAGCAAAACATACCTTCATCTCTAATGGAATATATGTTATACTCAATTCTACCTTGTCTTGTTTTCAGTATTATCCCTGATGGTTCAGAATTTAGGACAATAAAAACTTCCTACTTTTATTGTTCAAAGAAATGTTTGAGGAGCTTAATGATTATGTAATCTAGATAAATGAATTTTAACCTTTTATCATAGCCCTTTTTGCAAATTATTGTAGCCATAATGCTATTTTGCTGCTAATTGTACAGTATTTTAGTAACAAAGTAGGATTTTGAATAGGGAGTTTCTTGAAATGTCTTGAAGTCTCTGAATGTTTTTACTGAATACTGTATGAGAGACTGGACAATTTATACACTGATGTGTAATATGATTAGTAAATAGTAATAAAATCTAATTTCCCTGTGTTTGTGTTTCTGTCCATCTGTCTTTTCATGAATGTCTATGCACAAAATAAACACTATTGATAATTTTAGGACGTGATTGAGATTTAATTAATTATGCTTTAATGATGCAGTGCATCAGATCCTTCCTTTGTCAGTATATCAGAAGATTTTAGTTTTTATCATTCTTGGTGTAAATGTATGCCCCACATAAAAATTTTTGAGTAAAATAAAAGCATTCAAATGTTTTACTTCCTATTAAAAGTTAAATATATTTTATTAAAATTTTTTTTTTTCTATTGTGGAGCTTGAACTCAGCCTGGATGCTGTCCCTCAATCAACTCTTCAGCTCAAGGCTAGCACTTTACTACTTGAGCCATAGCGTCACTTCCAGACTTTATTTTTAAATAGTGTTTTATAGTAAAAGCTTAAGACAGTGCTTTAAAATATTTTTAATTTTATTGTAAAGGAGTTGGACAGAGGGAGTACGATTCTTGTTGAACATTTTTACCTCCATCTCATTTTTCTCCCACTTTCTCTTCTCAGTCCCTCCCTCCCCAAGTTGTAAAGTTAATTTCCAACATAGTGTCTTACGAGTGTGGCTGATTGTTTTTTTAATTATAAAGGTGATGTACAGAGGGGTTACAGTTATATAAGGAAATGAGTACCATTCTTGTAGAACATTGTTACTTCCTCTCTAGTTTCTCCCCTTATTCCCCCGTCCCTCTCCCCGCATTCCCTGCCTCTCCAAGTTGTAAACTTCATTTCCAACATAGTGTCTTGTGAGTATCACTGTTGCATTGGTTCACCATTTGTTCTTTGTCTCACCTTTTCTGTGATTCCCCTTCCCCTTCCCTAATCAGATAAACTTATATACAATACAAAGGGTACCAGAACAAAAAGCTGTGACAATGGGGGTAAACCAAAGGAAAAAAAATGAAATAAAAAAATCACAGCATATTATATACTAAGAAAAAAATGACTTGTTTCCATATCTTGTAGTTTATTTTGATTGGCATCATTTTGTAAGATCAAGTACATATTGAGCTATTGTGGTCTTCTGCTAGGATTATCCTAGACATATATTCATTATTATATATGAGGGAAACCAGGCAGCCTATGTTTCTTTGGGTCTAGCTTACTTAATAGGATTTTTTCACTCTTTCCATTTCCTTATGAATGGAGCAACCCCAAACATATTTGTCTACCATATAATTTTTGTTTTAAAAAACAATTTGGATTCTCTGTAATCCTATTCTTTATATCTTTCACATGTGGCTTTAGGTATCTTCTACCATTTAGTTTAGGTATTTCTGTCTTTATGATGTGAAACATTTTATCATCAGCTTCTTCTTACTCTTACATACTAAGATAAAACATAAAGCTGTATATTGTTCTTTAGCAATATCAATGCCATTTATACCCATCTTATATTGCTTGGAACTTTTGCTCTGAAAAGAGAAGCATTGTAGTCATAAACGGATATGTTGAACTGAAATCCCTTTGTACACTTAAGGATTGTAAGAATATTAAAAAATTAATAAGAAAAATATTTGTTAAAACTTTATGGTTTGTGATTATGTAGGTATTTAATATACTTTTGATTTTCAGTAGTCCAGAAGAAGGGTTTATTAACTGATGTCTATAAAGCTAAGTTCAACTGTTTGTTGTGTTTTTCTTTCCTTTAGACTTCTTAAAAACAACAAAGTCAATTTAGAGTTTTTCTTTTTAGCTTTTATTGACTTTTCCAGTAGACAGACTAGTAATGGGGTTGCCATTGCTGGGGAGGTGAGGAGAGAAACACTTTGATTTCTGAATTGAAGAGTTGAAAAGAATTTAGAGAACATTGAAGAGCATGAGAAACTTTACTGGTGATTACTGTATAGTTAGGAAGAGTGAATAAGTTAGACCTGGTAGCTTCACTTTCCTTTTAGCTTTTCAGTTGCAAGGTAGTTGAGGAAAACCTACAGAGATTAACAGCAAGGCATGTAGAGCCTAACCGCTGTTTGCATCTGCTTTATCATTCAGTTGATATAGATACTTGAGTATCTTCATTTATCTTAGACTTTTTGTTTTGAAAATGGACATATTGAAAATGACAAACCTTAAGAATTATTATGAGAGTTAAATTATGAAAAATTCTTCTTAGCCTGTCAAATTATGTAATAATTAGATAGCCTCTCACACTGCTGTCTTCACTACTGTAATAACTGTCATTACAGGACTACTGATATTCAGAGTAGCCCTAAAAGTGAGATCCTGTCTCAAAAATAACCAAACCTTAAGAGCTAAAGGTGTGGCTCAAGTGGTAGAGTATTGGTCCAGCAGGCCCTGAAGCCCCAACTCCAAACCCTACAGTATTAGCACCCCCTCCAAAGGTAGAACTATTGAGAATATTATTACTATGAGAAAAAAAGCATGTTTTTGGAAAATTTTAGTGCCAATCCTTTACTGCTTTGTTAAGTAGTTATAATGTGGATAATTATGACTTAGACTTAGTTATAAGTAGCTTGGTGATTTAGAATCATTTAAAAATAGATACATTATAGATAGATAATGCAGTTATTTCAATGGAATTATTTTGAGGGACTTTGTACCCCTGGGACTTTCTTGAATAATTCCTTATTTTTTTTCTTTTTGTTGATTGTAGGGCTTGAACTCAGGCCTGTATGCTCTCTTGAGAGCATGATGAGACTGATGTTCTCTGAGCCACAGCTCCACTTCTGGTTTTCTGGTAGTTAATTAGAGATAAGAGTCTTAGGGACTTCCTGTGTGGGCTGGGTTTGACACATGATCCTCATATCTCAGCCTCCTGAGTAGCGGGGTGTGAGCCATCAGCACCCAGCTAAATAATTCTTTATTGTTTTTAATTCATTTTTGTCCTGTGTTGTTAAATTCACATTGTGTTACTTTCTTGAAATGATCATATTTGCCATTCATATTTAGGCTATACTACTTGCCTTTGACTGATCTGCCTATTAGTTTAGTGGTTGGAATTCATTTATTCCATTTCTGGTAGACTTTAACGAGGTTTGTTAGAATCAGCCTTGATGTCAGGATTTAACGAGGTTTGTTAGAATCAGCCCTGATGTCAGGATCGAACTGAAAAACAAAACTTTTTTCAATGAAACATCTTCACTTTTTTTTTTCAGAGCTTTAGGTAATGTTTTATTTTTTCTAGAAAATCTTTTTGGGTATAGAAAGTAATACGCTAGAAATTGGTGTTACCATTATGGTATTTTTCTATGGTACATTTTCTTTCTTTTTTCTTTTATTGTAAAGATGCTATACGGAGGGGTCACAGTTACATGAGTAAGGCAATGAGTACATTACTTGTTGATCATTGTTACCCCTTCCTTCCCCTACCTCCCACATTCCTCTTCTCCCCCATTCCCCCCCAATCCCCGCCCAAAGTTGTAAAGTTCATTTCCAATATATTGTCCTGTGTGTATCCTTGTTGCAATGGGTCATCCTGTGTCCTTGTTTCAGCGTTTTGTTATTCCCCTTCCCCTCCCCAGACTAGACATACATATATACAAGATTCAAGGTGCCAAAATCAAGTACAGCGACAACAGGGGATATTCCATAGGGGAAAGCACATACAAAGGAAACAAGAACAACAAAACAATAAAGTCACATGGTACATTTAAAACAAGAACAATAAAGACAGACCTCTTGTATGGTATATATACAATGGAATTCTGTGCTTCCATCAGGAAGAACGACACCACCTCATTTGTTAGGAAATGGAAAGACTTGGAAAAAAATCCTACTAAGTGAAGTAACTCAGAAATTTAGGTCTCATGGTTTCCCTTATTTGCAATAATTAGTATACATATAGGATAATTTTTATCAGATGAGCTGAAAAGTTCAAAAGCCATGTACAAATGATCATATAAGATGATGCTTTGTTAGGAAATGGAAAGACTTGGAAAAAATTATATTAAGTGAAGTAAGCCAGGCCCAAAGAAACATAGGTCCCATGGTTTCCCTTATT